AAAAATCATCGGACAATTGATTGTTATTATAAACGTACAACCGGATGCTTTAATTGTGGTCAAAATCACAATGTCCGTGATTGTACACTACCTCCAAATTTTCAATAACTGGGTCACATGATGGCGGTGTTCCCAGTAAATTTATTAAGCCATCAACAATGTCCTCATCCCCCATTTACATCAAAATTCGTGTTAATGACCAACCAACTGAAGCAATTGTTGATACAGGATCCGCCATCTCCATTATTCATTTAAATTTTCTAAAAACTATTCAACACAACAAATTTACTTATACAACCCGTAAATGTCAAACAGCAAATTCAACTCCTCTCAAAATTATCGGACAAATTGAATTAGAAATTCAAATTAAACATATTAAAACTTATGTCATTGCTTATGTTGCAACAAACTTAATTACATCAATTCTTTTAGGCAATGACTGGATCAATTCTAATCATGTTCATCTTTTTGGCGATCAAAATTATTTAACTATTCCTGATCAATATGGTCATTTAACTCAAATTTCGTACACCGAACCGCCTTCCATTAACTATCCTGCTATATTAGTCAATCAAATTACTCTTCCTCCTTATTCACAAACATTAGTTGATATTACTTCTCAAGTTAGTAATGCCAACAATTTAATATTCGAACCTTATGATCGTTATATTTCAAAATTTATGTTTATACCATACACGTTATTAAATGTTCATAATCATCAAGCAAAAATTTTACTGATAAATGCCCAAAATCGACAACAAACATTATCAAAAAATACGCGCATTGGAACCATATCATATGATACAACATTCTCCATATGTACTACAATACAAGATTCGACAAAATCCAAATCGCTGCTAAATCATCAACCATTACGAAGGTCAAAAAATTTTAAAACAAGAGCTATCTCATACAGTAAAGATAACTCGGATCAAATTATACGGAATAATCGTTGCCATCACTGTAATGAATATTTTTTATCTGGAAATGATTTACAAAAGCATTTACGTGCACAATGTTATTCAGCTCAGATTCGAAAACAAATAATCGAATCGATTGCTCATATAGAAAATCCGAAACATCAATTAGCAATTCAAGATATATTATGGCGAAATAAAATATTATTTGATCCTACACCGTCAATTATTAATATACCTCCACAATCTGCTATTAAAACTGGTGATCATCCACCTCTTTATTCAAAACAATATCCTGCATCTGACAAGGATCAACAAATTAAATTTCAAGAAACACAGAAATTATTAGAACGTGGTCAAATTGAAGAATCAACTTCTCCATGGTCATCACCTATTGTTCTTGTTAAGAAGAAAGACAAAACTATGCGATTCTGTATTGATTATCGTCGATTAAATGCTATTACGATTAAAGATGCATTTCCACTTCCTCGAATTGATGAAATTTTTGATCAATTATCTGATGCAATGTATTATACAAAATTTGATTTTAAATCTGGATATTTCCAGGTTCCTCTATCTAAAGAGGACCGACCAAAAACGGCTTTCTCCACACGAGACAATCATTATCAATTTACAGTTCTTCCTCAAGGAATAACAAACGGTCCAGCAACATTTCAACGTGTTATTAACCATATATTAGGTCCTACACGATGGAAATATGCATTAGCATATATTGATGATATAATTATATATTCAAAAACATTCGAAGAACATTTATCACATCTCAATGAAATTTGTCAAATATTAAAAAATGCTCGATTTCGTCTTAATCCAGAAAAATGTGAAATAGCTCGAACTCAAACAGATTATCTTGGTCACAATATTAAAAATGGTGAAATTCGTCCAAGTGCAAACAATATCAATGGTTTATTAAATACACGATTACCACAAACTGCAGATGAAGCTTGCAAATTCGTTAAAGCAGCTGAATATTATAGAAAATTCATACCAAATTTTTCTCAAATAGCCGAACCACTTCGAAAATTCGTTCCGACTACAAGAACTCAACGAAAAAAAGGACAAAAAACCATTATTACATTAACAAATGAAGAAATCAAAGCCTT